CCCATTATAATGCGACGTGAAAGTTTTGTAGGTATTAAAACCCTTGAACAAATCGCTGACAGGACCAGTGAACGGAATTGTGATGTGGAGTTCCATCCGAGAGCGCTGCATAGTTTTGTTTACATTCCACCTGGTGTCCACGATAGTCGGCGACACTCTACCACCTTCGCGAAGTAAGGGCACTCGAGCAATTAAGCGCTGTTCTCTATGATCATATTCTTTTGCTGAAAAAAAAAGAACAGGACCTTAAAGGTCCTCACACATGTTCTTCAGCTGCCTGAATCTCAATCACCGCTCCGCCTTACATCAGGGTTAGCCACGTAGCATCCACAACAAATGAGGAGAGACGGCAGCACAAACTGTTGTCGGACGCCTTATCAACATTCTTGTCGACCTTTCTCCGATCTACAACTCAGAGCGGAGAAGCCAAAGGACGTCGTGTTCGACTATGAAGCCTCTGACGCTGCTCAGTAACCTTCTGAGCAATTAAACAGAAAGAGGTTTGGTACTATTGCTTCACCGAAGCTACAACACCATGAATATTATAGCCCCTTCCACTACGCGTTCTTTAATGACCTCTGCCACTACACATCCATTGCTACTCTCTACTCTTGCTGATCATTCAGCCTGCGATTATGTACCATTTGAACTATGCCTTCGAAAATATTGACCGAGGAAGATTAGTACACTTTCTTTCGAGTAGGAACTCTCGCTTAAAAAATAATTTTGGCTTGTCAGGCTCTCTTACTTGGTCGCTGACCTTGTTACACACAAGACAAAGCTACACGGCATTCTCGAGCAGCATCAGTGTCTGCACGATCCCCGTCCAAAACTGAGACGGAGCAAGACCCTCCCATTCAGAACATGGAACAGTACCGACCTCCATTACACCAGATCCACCTCCACTCCCAGATTGTCCGTCGAGAAGGGGGGAGTATGTCTCTAAAACGAAAAAAAAACAACAGAAAAAGTCTCGGAAACGCTCAAAAATCCAATGCCCAATTCCACTAATACCGACCCCTATCAGACGAGCAATCTTCTCCCCTCCCTGCTACTAAATACAACCTCTACTGTGGGTTACAACGGTACAGGCACAGCGCCATAAAAAAGGTGATCGCAAAATGAATGATCTGCTTGAAAAATGCATGAACGCACCTGGAAGCAGTCGTACTTGGATCGCATCTCACTGATGGTTGAAAGATGTTGTTTTCCGACATCATCTAAGCAAAAGTTGAACGTAATGGAACCAAAGATGAAGAGAGATGCAACGAAAAGCATCACTTTGTAAATTCATAGAAGAAAATGGCAAAACATCTGGGAGATAAACCCCTTCTTGGAGAGAAAAACACGACTCTTTAGGTTAAATAGAAATTTAATAAATTTATAAATATTAACAATTAGTATGTACAATGCGGCACCGCTACAAACAAAGCAACGATAAATTCCATCTTGCTTATTATTTAAACCACTCTTCGTACCATAAAAAGAGCAATATAGGGGCGTGCAAATCTTGCGGGAAGGGGAAAAAGAAGAAAAACAATTCTGACAGCACTGATCTCGACATACTGTGTGTAGTTATTGAAGGACGAAAGCAATTTCATCACAGTCACAGTATAGAGATGGCGTTACAATGGATTATAAAATGCGAGGACTAGTCAAGAAGATAAACCGAGGCCTCCAATTTGATTTCACGAAATACTGCATTTTGTGCCTGATTGTTCACTGATATTCCCTCGTGCAAGTTCGATCTGGTGAAGCATTTTGTCAAAAATTTGTTGCACAGCCTGAAAAGTTCCAAATAATCACGACAATAACATAACGTCAGTGTTCCATAAGAAAAGGGTTCCACTCCAATATATCGAGAAATTGTGTTGTACAAAATCGTCGGATTGCGGTGGTTCTGAAATTTTCACTGGGATTTCTTAAAGTTACTCCTTCGATTTCCAATGATAGGTGATATTCAGTGGTGGAAAGAGTGAAGAAACGACTGCGAAGTAAAAAAAAATTTTCCGCTAACGGTTGAGTGAACCACTACACTCAGCTCGGAGCTCCTCCCTCTAGGCATGAGCAAATCGCAAAATGTAAAAAAAACAACTGAAAAATTGTTGCAGCTTCAAAGTGAACTGATTGCTCTGACGCAAAATGCCTTGGTATTCTAGGGAAGCAAAAACAGGAGTAACGCTTGAGTTTCGGAGCTCGTAAAAACAAAATAAATCAAGTAAATGTCTAGCATGTCTACATTATGCCCTTACCGATACTAAAAAGAGAGCCTCAGTGAAGTTAAAGACAGCGCCCGCGATCGACTTTGGCTTAAGGGGTCAGATTTGTTAGAACAGGTGGCAAGTGAAGCATTAATCAAAAAAGTAGGAAAAAAGGTGCAAGAACATGTAATAAGACCCTATTCGATTTAAGGCATCTGGACGAGTTTCGCAGATTTTGGGTGAGTTCTCCAAAATACATCGCAGCCTCGTTGCGGCTAATTCTCATGAGGCCACTACCTAGGTTATCTTATCTAATCTAATTAATCTGGCATTGATAATCGATCTGTCTATGGCTTAATCACTCTATCAGCGTGTGCGAAACGAAAGCTAGGAATTTTCTGGGCGGGATTAACAGGACAGGCGGCGTCAGCTTAGCATTGTTGACTCCGCCTTCGTCAATCAATCGATTTCGAGCCGCAAGAGTGGGATATCCGCTGTGGTTGCGGACTCCGCGATCTTGTACAGTGCAGGGTTTTTTCACCTTGGTTGATCGCGGACGCTGCCTTTAAGCTCTAGCGTTCTCAAAGGATAAAGGGCGCAATTGCGAACAGAGTAGACTGGGTGATAGCGAAATAGGTCCAGGGAGAAAATAGTATAGCTATAGTAAGGAAATACTTCCGTGGACGGTGAAGCTCATGGTGTATCAAACGGCACAATGGAAAAGACGAGGTCATCGTATTTAATCGCGGATGTTAGCACTACAGCTTGTGGACGTTGAACATCCACAAGCAACGAAGAAGCCGAAACTTTGAGTAATCAGTAAACAAGCAGTAGGAAGTACCCGATGACCGAAAAGGAATAGGGTGCTCGAAGGTGGACTTTGAAATCTCCCATCAACTCCTATGAAGCTAACATATTACAAATTCCATTTCTGAATCCCCAGAGCTGTTTTACCCTAGCCTTGGGATGTCTTCTCCAAGATCTGTGAAGCTACGCAATGTTTCTATCATACACGAGCAGAACCCGCCATTCCATGGCTTCCTTCGCATCTTCTTGCACTAAAATCCGTTGTTCTTAAAGAGAAGTGAAAAGGTGTCAAAATGAACCCGAACCATTTAGTAGCTTTATGAGGATTACAGGTCACCACACAAGGGGCTGGCAAGCGGAAAAGAACTAGCTATGTGGTTCCACGGCCAAACTGACTGTAGAATATATACAAGATTCCTATCACAGTTAAGACATAATCTTATCGTTTAGAAGTATTATAAATACCATGAAAACCTCACAGTATTATCCTTCGCTGATGTCTCAATAAAAGCAGCTCTCCATTTTTGAGCTAATCTTGAACCGTCTTCTTTAGTGACCATGCGCGATGCATGTTGCAAATCCAATTTATTACCAACTACAACGATTGGCACCCTGAAATTATACTTGTAAAAAACATGACTTGAAATTCTCCATTAGAAAGGTATTGAAATCTACTTGTTGTCTCCTATAGTCTCCATGATTTTATCGTGAATAACTTGTATGATTTCGAACCTGAACGTGCAATTTCATGAGCGATAAAATGGTCATACAACGGAATTGACCATATGAGTAAAATCGAAAAACGAACGATTTTTTGTCATCTATAGCGTACACTAGGATAAAGCCATCAATATCAACGGAACAACTCCGAGGAAATATTGAGTACTCTTGTTGTCCAGCAGTGTCTGAAAGAACACATTTTCGGCATGACAGTAATATAACTGGACTGTTTGTAAAGTTGTACGCACGAAGCATACACAAAGAAATTTTTGAAGGGTAAAAAGAAAAATACCCAAAGAGCAGTCCAGCTTACAAATACATCCAGAGAGCAGTAAAGAAGCAAGCGGAATATAAACTAAAGGGCAACTTTTCAAAGGAAAGGAATAAAGTCTCCACCGTTAATCAACCCATTTTTGATATGCACGCGGCACGCGCTCCACTTCCAGTCGAAATCTCAATGGCTTATTGAATGCGAGGGGCCCTACATAACGACTTCCGAGGACTCGACAAGTGAGTGTTCTTATCTTCACAAAAAAAATCTGCTGTTAATTCACTGTTCCCAAAGGGTAGCACGCTTTGCTTGGCGGTATCCGGCTCGTTATTTGACCCCCGGACAGTGCGTGTGGTAAGCGTGTCACCTGCCCGTACGTACACCACATCTGGTCGTATCCGAAGAAAAGTTTTTGAGCTACAAAGCTTTCCAGTCACACGTGTCCATACAAAAGAGTAAAGCACCTAAGATGTCTTGTCAAGACGAACTGCTTATTTGGTAACGAGGAGTGATATTTTTTCCAAAAAAAGGCGCTACTTTCCTGTACCGGGGAAATCCTGCTAAAATGCACCTGAAATAACTCGCTCAGGGCATGGAAGAAAACGTGCCTCGAGACGCTTCCTTAGTTGAATCGTCTCCTTGCACTTTACAGCAGACTACCGCTTGAAATTGAGACGCAAAATTTGGATCGTATAAGTTTCGATTACTATAATAGTAATAAGACAAATAACCGCAAAGTACCTTGAAGTAATGCCCAAAAGCAGAGAAAAGTTATCTAAAGGTGCAATACGTTGACGGTACACTTCTGCTGTTCACATTTGTAAAATTTGGTTGACTCGATTGAATAAACGGTGAAATCAGAAGAGAAAGGTGCATTATTTCAAACAGGTGCAAATTTAGGTACGAATGGAGCAGAGTGCAAGACGTTGTAAACCACGACAACGAATTTCTGTACTAGAACTATAACAAAGCCATAGTCTCGCTCTCAAACGGATGCATGAAGGATGTTTTTTGCAATAAGAATACTTCACACACGTCTTCACTATTTCACTAAACTTGAGCACAAATCCTCATCCCTTGGCTAGCAACCATTTCCTCGATACTTCTAGCAGTAAATGCTATTGGAGAAAACCGGAGAAATTGCGACAAAAGGAGGCTCGGTGTTTGAAAAACTTCATGCGCGAAATATCGGTAAATCTCATCCGTCAGAACTTGCATCAAATTGCTTTGTTCAATTGAAACAGCGCCGAAAAAAGATTCGCGTAGAAAAAACACCTGAGGGTAGCTATTGAATGGCACTTAATGACACCATAATTCTGGATAAAGACCAAAGTTCTTGGTTCAGGGTAAATCATCCTCCCGTGAAAATAAGATGGAACAGGGAGGGGGTCGCACATGGTCTCGAAAGGAGGTAATCCGATCGCTGAATTAATGATTTTCCCAAAAAAATCAAACGGATCGTACTAAGCAAAAGGATACACGTGACGATGTGTTCTGATTTGGATATCTGCTCGACCTCAAGCAAATATGAATTTGGAAGGTTTCAACGCGCTCTATCTGAAGTACTTTGTATATTCCAGGAACACTGTCTTTCTTACAACTCACGAATATCCCCTACCACTCGAACAAAGAAAAATTGCTGAAAGCACGCGTAACTTAGCTATTAATCTGCACAGCTTCTTTTGCAAAGCCAAACCAAAAAAGTCCACGAAAGAGATTTCTATACTGCTATCACCCAGTGCGGATTGATTTTTGATAGCAACGTAAGTTAGTTTCCAACCCTCGCTCACTCGTAATTGTGCGCGTGACACGGCCAGAAACAAAAACTGTTCGTGACTCACGTGATTAACACGATTATATCTTCTTCGAGAATTATAACGATGAAAAGAACCACGAACAAGAAGCTTCGACAAAAGTAATTCGAAAGATTACTCGACATTTAAGAGCTCTTGTAAAAAAATAGTGAATCTCACCTGTGATTTTAAGGTTATAATCTCGGCCAAGCCAACGATATGGTTTGTTGTGAAGATCTTCTATAGTGGTGTCATAAGCATCCGGGAAATGGCCTTGGACAAAGCGTAAAGTAATGGATGATTTTCCTAGAAAAAGATGTAGGATTTCGACTCAGTGCGGTAAAATGTGTCAACTCACCAACACAAGGATATCCCATTAAAGCGATCTTCCGGGTGATTACATTTTTAGAGCCGCTCGCCATTGTACAAAATGCTGAAACTTCCACATACAGATCTCGAAAGAATACGTTTTGAAAATAAAACCTTTTCAAACAACAGGTTTGGGCCAACAATATGACACAAGATTTGCTGGACGATCCCATGCGCGTGTCAACGCGTGCGATCGCGTCGCGGTTTGAACTGGAGCGCGTCAACGGAGTAGCTCACGGTGAAAGTTCGTGTCTATATTTGACCCTTGCCTAAACAGGGGTATTTGCAACCGGGTTCAACAGTTGCATAGCCAAACATACATGCTTAACATAAGCGAATTGATGAATTTTATGAGGGGTTAACCAGCCATGCTTTAACCAGCGCTGACTGAATAATTCCCTCCAACTTCCCCAAATGTCACCTCTTCAAATGTATACCCGGTGAAAAGGGTATATACTGATAGAGTGATAAGCTGATCTGAACTGACTAAAAGTCAAACAGGCTCACCTCGGACTTAATAGAAGCAGAAATATTTCAAAGTCATCCTTCTCCATCGCTTCATCATTAACGATTATCTGAATCCCATGTGGACAGCATCATAACTCTGCAGAAATTTTACTAATCAGTAATGGGAAAAATTCCGATTTTCCCTGTTCGAATGTATAACGGAGGTTTAAGTGAGTTCTGCTTCAAAACGCGTGTTTTTCCGTAGAACACGTTCTTATAAGCACTGCACATTATCAGCACTGTTTCGGATGGTGGTCTTGCTGATACAGAATACCCAAGGCATTTGAAATGATGATTTTTGCACAAGGCAATCGGTTCCCTTACCCTGGAGCTCCTTTTCTCCCTAGATAAGCACTTGTCCCCGACTCAAAATTGTTTCTTCCGACTTTACAGCACAGAACAATTTTTTTTTCACTGGAATACAGAGTATTTCATTTGGAATAGTTAATACCTTTGCACAAAGAAAGCCTGGGAAGATAAAAATCAATAACTAAAAATAAAAACAAACGATGTATAGGAAATCATTCATCAATGAATAATTATTGTCCTAACAACACATCATCACGGGTACTGAGAAAAGTCCGAGAATTCTAGAAACGATAAAGTCATAGTCATCCTATTCCTTCAACCTCACTCACCTGGTTCCCGATAAAAGAACTAAAATTCAACCGGTGAGCCTTGTCAGATATTTCGCTAGCTCTGACCTTCTACTACAGTTTCGAGAAGATATTTCTAATGCGTTGGTAATACCACAAACAAGGACACGAAGCGAAAAAATCTTCCGACGGGCAACTAATCAAGATAAACATCGAGCAAATCTGCTCCAAACCGCATCGCAGCGCAATCACGGGAAAAACGCATGGGTTGCTCGGGGCCATGCAAGAACTCCGAATACTGGCTTGTGTGAAACGACGATAATCGATCACATGAACAAGCGCCAGATAACATCAAGCGCTCGGGATCGTCGATTGCCAGATAAAAGCAACAAAGGATTCCCCTGAATGGGAGGTGGATGGAAAGAATGTCCCCAACGGGGTGTTGTTTGAGCGTTTTGAATCTTGTTTACGGGAACTCTCGTTCTA